GAGCAGCAGAGGGAGGAGCAGAGGGAGGAGCAGAGGGAGGAGCAGAGAGAGGAGCAGAGAGAGGAGCAGAGAGAGGAGCAGAGGGAGGAGCAGAGGGAGCAGCAGAGAGAGGAGCAGAGGGAGGAGCAGAGGGAGGAGCAGAGATAGTAGCAGGTTGGAGGAGCAGAGGGAGGAGCAGAGGGAGCAGCAGAGGGAGGAGCAGAGGGAGGAGCAGAGAGAGGAGCAGAGGGAGGAGCAGAGGGAGGAGCAGAGAGAGGAGCAGAGAGAGGAGCAGGTTGGAGGAGCAGAGGGAGGAGCAGAGGGAGGAGCAGAGAGAGGAGCAGGTTGGAGGAGCACAGGGAGAAGGAGGAGCAGCCTTCTGGGTTCCTCTGTAGTTTAACTCTGATGTAAACAAAGCTGTTTGCATCAGAGAATCACCATGGCAACGCTGAGTGACAGCACTGACTGCAGAAATCTGCAATGATGTCCATGCTCTGCTGTGAGCTCTGACGGTTGCCATAACAACAAGCGTTGCTGTGGCAGCCAGCCTTGTCACCATGGCGATGGGTTTCTGAGCACTTATTTCCAGATAGCATCATCAGAACCACCTGGACTGGCCGAGTCCAGACGGGTCTCAGTCCAGGACCTGAAGAACCTGGAGCAGGGCGACCCCTGCTGGCCATCAGCCGATATTACAACTGTGAGCAGGATTATTGTAGATTAGGCTGGAAAAAACAAGCAAACACTGAATATAAAGTTTGGGTTACTGAAAAACTGCAAGTTTTAAAGATTCATCTGGAAATATTTAGTTATTTCTTCAGCTTCATTCAATACAACTTTTCTCTAAAAACAAGCTGTTCTCATTAGGGTGACATTTATTAACAAAAACATCAACATTTAGATATTAATTCAGTTGATTCAAAAGCTTCAGTTCTCAACACATCAGATCCTCCAATCAGATCAAAGGTTCATAAGGAAAACCAGATTCTATTGGATCAGGACGCTACAGAGGATGTTTGACATTTTTACAATAACAGAAGCTCAAAGAGACGCTACAGAAGAAAGATCAAAAGCTCTAATATTTCAACGTTTTAATTCATAAACGTATAAATCCAAGAATATAAATATAAATCAGATGGAGCAAATTAAAACCTCCTGATGAGGAGAGTCAACCCAAGGAAGGCCCCAGGGCCTGATAACACACCTGGGCAGGTGGATAAGGAGTGGTCAGATCAGATGGCTGGTGTCCTCACAGACATCTTTAACACCTGGCTGGACCAATCCATAGTGCCAGCATGCTTCCAGTCTGCCTCCATTATTCCAGTCCCAAAGAAGCCTCAGGTCGCCTCCCTCAACGATTAGCGGCCTGTCGCTCTGACTCCCATCATGATGAAGTGCTTCCAAAGGCTGGTTAAAGAACACATCGTCTCCAGTCTGCCGCCAACATTCCACCCGTTCCAGTTCGCCTACCGACGGAACCGCTCCACTGAGGACGCCATCTCTGCTGCTCTCCACCTGAGCCTGGCACACCTGGAGGAGAAGAACACCCACGATGGATGCTGTTCCTGGACTTCAGTTCAGCTTTCAGCACCATCATCCCACAGCATCTGATGGGCAAACTGGAACAGCTGGGCTTCAATACACCCCTCTGCTATTGGCTGCTAGACTTCCTCACCAACAGACCTCAGTCAGTCCGGGTCGGACCTCTGATGTCATCAGTCTAAGCCCCTCCCCTCAGGGCTGCGTCCTGAGGGGAGGGGCTTAGACTGATGACGCACGACTGCGTCCCCAGGTTCACCACCGATCACATGGTGAAGTTTGCAGACGACACCACGGCGGTGGGCCTCATCAGAGACGACAACGACCTGGACTACAGAGAGGAGGTGGAGCAGCTGGTGGAGCAGAGATAACAGCCTGATCCTGAAGGTGGAGAAGACCAAGGAGATGATGGTGGACTTCAGGAAGAACCGTCCTAACCACGCTCCACTGCTCATCAACAGCTCAGCTGTAGAGGTGGTCATTCATCACAGACACCCTCACCTGGACTGGAAACACCACCTCACTGGTCCAAAGGGCCCAGAAGCGCTTGGACTTCCTGCCCCCCCCCATCCTCCCCACCTTCTCCAGAAGCACCATAGAGAGCGTTCTGAGCAGCTGTCTCACTGTGTGGTGTGGAGGCTGCAGCGCCTCAGACTGGAAGAAGGTGAGAACAGCAGAGAGGATCATGGGGGCTCCTCTTCCCTCCATTAAAGACATTTCATCCCAGCGCTGCGTGTCCCGTGACATCATCAATGACCCCTGTTAGGTTTATTATTTTATACATCATGTGCATTGTTATTTTGTTAGTCAGATTAGAGCAGAAGGCCTTCCTTCACATTGTGGATGTCACTGTGTGTACAGAGGTCATCTAATCGGGACAGCCTTCGTGTCTTTAAGAGTACACAGGATATGGGCGCATCTTGGAGCCGGTCTGATAGGAGAGCTGCTGTATCCCTGAAGCATAGAAGAAAGCTGCATGGAGTTCAAGACATGGATGGTGTGTCAGTTTCTGATACGGACAGCTAAGCATCCACATGATGCAACACAGACTCAGAAGGTATAAGAAGCAGGAGATGATGTTGTTCGAGGCTCAAACTTTGCCGGACGCTTGCGGACGTGATTTTTGAGCCCACAGCTGTGCAGCTCTAAGCATTTTTCTCTGTCCTGTAACGACCTGATCTGGAATAAACTCTGTTATTTTTTTACTCCTGTTTTTATAGTCCTTTTTATTTGGTTTGACCCAGTTTGAGTTAAGAGTAGTAAATAACTTGCTCCCAGGAAAAGAACCGGTGAGGAGGCCCCCGGGGCGCTACAGCCTTCCTTCCTTTAACAGCCCCCCCCCCACCCCACCATGGACTGTTCTCCCTGCTGCCCTCTGGGAAGAGGCTTCCCAGCATTCAATGCAGGACCAGCAGGTTCTGCAGCAGCTTCTTCCCCACCGCCATCACACTGAGGAATATTATGTTAAATGGGTTATTGGATTTTATTATATTTTATCATTATATATATATATATATTAAAAAAAAACTGAAAATGTAAATTTACAGTCATATCTTTATTACTGTTTATATATATATATTTTTTTTTTTTACTAATTTTCAAGGCTGCACTTTAAAAAAAATGAGATTGTCCAGGAAGCTGTTCTAAATGAAATTTCTTTTTGTTTTACATTTGTGTAAACAAAATGACAAATAAATCTAAGTGGCACTTCGCTCTCAATCTGCAGGTTTACTAGTGGTTCCTAGAATTTCTAAAAGTAGAATGGGAGGCAGATCTTTTAGTTCTCAGGCTCCTCTCCTGTGGAACCAACTACCAGTTTTAGTCCGTGAGGCAGACACCCTGTCTACTTTTAAGGCTAGGCTTAAAACTTTCCTTTCTGATAAAGCTTCTAGTTAGAGTGGCTCAGGTTATCCTGATCTATCTCTATAGTTCTGCTGCTATAGGCTTAGACTGCTGGAGGACATAGGGACCCCTTTTTCATCATTCTGCTTCATTCTATCTCTATTCTCCCACTCTGCAGAATCTGTTAGTTCAATCTCTAACGTTCTGCTCTCTCTGCTTTTTCTCATAGTAGCTTCATCTGGTCTGTTCCTGTTTGGCTGTGACTCCATCCTGGAGAGAAATATCAGCTGTGCTGCTGCCATCAACACCTTTGTTTCTAGATGTTGGAGCTTGGCCTGTTTTCCAGTGTAGTCCTGTTTCTCTGACTGTGACTAACTGGATGTGCTCTCTTCATCCTCTGACATGGGAGCTGGCTCGGAGCTCGTCTGCCTGGCTGTGTGTTTCCTGGACGGGGCCGCCTGTGGAGCTGGTTGACAGTTGCCTTTTGTATCTATGCTTCTTTTTCTATGTCTGCTTCTGTCTCCTTGAACCCCGGTGGGCCTCAGCAGATGGCCGCTCACACAGAGCCTGGTTCTGCTGGAGGTTTCTTCCTGTTCAAAGGGAGTTTTTCCTCTCCACTGTCGCTACAAGCATGCTTAGTGTGAGGGATTGCTGAAGAGTCAATGAGTCGATGCAATCAGCTGGTTTTCCTTAGATAGAAAACTTTGAACTGGATGATCTGGTGAACTGGAAAGTGACCTGAGATGACATGATGGGAATTGGAGCTATAGAAATAAAATGAATAGAATTGATGATCCATCCATCCTAAAATCAGAGAATCTATATTCGATTATTCTGACTAAAGGAACAAAAGTCAATCAAACTAAAATGAAAACAAACCAAATGCTTTTAAATCAATAAATCCAGTTTATCAGAATGTTTCAGTTCAGTCAAACTATTTTCACTTTTTAATGCCGGCTCAGTGTGAGCAGCAACCTGCTAAACCGTCCATCTCAGGCAGTGGGGCAGGAGGCGGAGCCTAAACAACACCTCACCACGCCCGAAGGAAACTACGCCTCACAGTGGGACAGAGTGGAGCAGCAGAATGGACATTTATGTGACGTTTAAGTAAACAAAATGTTAAACCCTAAAGTGCAAGAAAGAAATCTGTGCAAAGGAAACTCACTGAAATAAAACCATCATAAGGCAAATATGAAGGAAAGAACCTGGAGAACATGGACCCGGCAAAGGCATCGGCTGGTGAAGGCCTCAACAGAGGCCTGGACCAGCAGGGATCTTTGCAGAATCCAGTTTCCTGTCTGACAACTTTCAAATACAAAAATAAAGAGCTAAAGGTTTAAAAGATTTACATTAGAAGCTTGATATTCAAAGTTTCTTTTCCCTTTTAGATTGTCCTTAAAGTTTGAAATTTCTAAAGCTGTCCTGAAAATATGGCATTCAGGTTCGCCTCGCTCTGCCCCCTGCTTGACAAACACTGTAACTGCATGTGTGCTTTTCTAACAGATCAAACTGGAGAAACAAACCAGGAACCTGAAGCTGGATGCAAGATCCAGCTGCTTCAGGTACAGTAACATGGATCACATGAAGTCTCCATAGCAACAGCCTGCTTCGTGCTGCTGTCAGGGTCCATAAACCTGCGGATGTCAATCAAACATCTATTTCTGTCCAGCATCCAGTCATCGCCGGGTCTCCATGGCAACCATCCCTAGGTTTTACCTCCAACCGGACGCCTGGGAGCAGCAGGATAATGATTGATATGTGAACCCCCAGAAGGGGGAGGTGGCCTGTTGGCGTCATAGCAACCATCAGAGGATGATTGCTGCTGCTGCTGCTCTGGGGAAGATTTCTGTGCCAACCTGAAGAAGGAAGCGGTGTTCTGCTTCCAGCACGGTTCTGACCCAGTCAGAGTCAGCCCAGCGTCACAGCCTGCATCACGGGCCAGACCCCGGTAACAGCTGAAGCTCCATCCTGGCTTCTTTGGAAAGCTCCTCCTGGGTAGTGAAGGTTCTGCTGAGGAGCTAAGGCTTCAGCTCTGCTCCTCAGCAGAACCTTCCTGTTTCTGTTACCTTTCCTTCCTCTGTTTCTGTTACCTTTCCTTCCTCTGTTTCTGTTACCTTTCCTTCCTCTGTTTCTGTTACCTTTCCTTCCTCTGTTTCTGTTACCTTTCCTTCCTCTGTTTCTGTTACCTTTCCTTCTCTGAGGCGTCTGGAACAATCTGCATGAACTCGCCTCCATCACTAATTCTGGACGTTTAAAGGCAGTTCTGATGCTTCTAAGGATGGAGAGTAAAACCAATCTGAGGAGCCAAGATGTTCCAGAAATGTTTGACCTCATTGACCTCCAGCATATATCGGAGCTTTATTCTGAAAGTCTGGGACTGCTTCCTCCTACGTGGAGCTCCCTCCGCCTCCAGCGGCCTCCGGCAGCTGGAACCTCAGCAGGAACTCTCTGACCGTCAGACGGTCGTCTGCCCCCACCGTCTGCTCCCCCAGCTGCTGAAGATGCTCCTCCCACCGCTGCTTGTCTCTCCCTGTTTGCCATGAGAGTCGGATCACTGCCTGCAGGAGCGGCAGCAGCAGGCACATAAAGGGGAGGGGCTTATCCTGCGGTGGGAGGGGCTTACGCTGAGCACCGATGCAGCTCTCGTTAGGGAGAAGAACACTTAGGGCAAGGTCTCCGTGCTCCAGAGCCTCCTCCAGCTGCTCCTCCTCCTGGAAACAGCACAACAGCCCCACCAAGGTGAAGAACCAATGAGATGAGGCCAGGTGTGGGGACTGCATCCCGTCGTCATGGTTACTGGCCCAGCCCAACTTGTGTTGTAGTCTCTTTGCATTAAGCAGAGGACCCAATGCCTCCTGGAACCGTCCGGACCTGAAGGACGAAACAAACACACCTGGGATTGGTTGGAGCAGAAGGAGGCTGATGACATCATCATGATAAATTATTCCGTTAGGAAGACATTACTGGATATAAGCTAACGGAATATAAACAGAACGGCTCCAAATGACACTAAACTCATCTGGGTGATTAGAACATGATGGAATAACGGAAAATCAAGGACCAATGGAAAAAACGGCGTTTCCATTAATGACAGATCTTCCTCATGCTCAAAGGTTACATGTGGAGTACCACAGGGATCAGTGCTAGGAACAATCAGCTGGTTTTCCTTAGATAGAAAACTTTGAACCAATCTGACTGGATGATCTGGTTGATCTGGATCTATAAAGCGACCTGAGATGACATGATGTGAATTGGAGCTATAGAAATAAACTGAATAGAATTGTTTTAACGTTCAACTCTGTTCTGCATCCATGTTCTAATATTGTTTGCTGTCTCAGTCTTGGTAGTGAGTATTTGGCTGCGTCGTGACCCTCTGCTGGAAAGGTCAGAGGTCAGAGAAGTCCAGAAATCAAACCAGGACCCTTAATTTGCCAGATGTTCCAGATGTTCTAGTGGGTTCCATGCAGGTTCTGTTCTGGTTTTAAACGCTGGTTCTTCTCCAGTGTCTCAGAATCAGAGGATCTGTATTCATGTCCAGACGGGAGAACAGGTCCTGCTTGGTTACCTGAGGAGCAGCTGGCCCGCCTGCAGGTCGCTCAGGTAAAAGAAGTGGCGCACGCTCGGCGCCCCCCGCAGGACAGGCAGGGAACACACGTGGGACAGGTACTGTTCGAAGGCCCGGCTGCGTTTGGCGATGGTCTCGGCCGTGAAGTTCCTACGCAGCTTCTTTCCTAAGAACATGAGAACCGGAGTCAGAAATGGAACCTGAAGCAGTTTCTAGTGGAGAACGTCAGCTCTGCTTACGTGGGAACGAGACGCGCTCCATCTGGTCACCATGGTTACGCCTCAGGGCGGCATGGAGTCGCTGGAAGTCAGAGTAGCGGCGGGTGATGACGGCAGGAGTCTTATCGCTGCCACCCGACTGGATCACATGGATGGTGTAGAGCTGCAGCAACAGAATCCAACTCAATCTTTTCTGATCTGATGCCGGACATTAAAGCGGCGCCGCTGAACTGACCACGAATTTGGAGGCGCCATCCTGGACCACGCTGGCGTCCGTCACCTCGAAGGACAAGCTATCCGAGTGTCGCCCGGTGCTGCGATCCGGACCGGCTGCTCCGAGTCCATGGAGGTTCCTCCAGCGTTCCTGAAACGGCTGAGTGAGCGTGGAAGGGGAGGGGCCAACGGGGCACACGCCGCCTGGACTGGCATCTGTAGAAAAACAGCAGCAGCTGGATTAGAACCTCCATCAGCTCAGAGGAGCAGGAGCCACCCTCACCTTTCCTCTGAACAGCAGTTCAGTTCTATTCATTTTATTTCTATAGCTCCAATTCCCATCATGTCATCTCAGGTCACTTTCCAGTTCACCAGATCATCCAGTCAGATTGATTCAAAGTTTTCTATCTAAGGAAAACCAGCTGATTGCATCCACTCATTGACTCTTCAGCAATCCCTCACAGCACAGCTGATATTTCTCTCCAGGATGGAGTCACAGCCAAACAGGAACAGACCAGATGAAGCTACTATGAGAAAAAGCAGAGAGAGCAGAAGGTTAGAGATTGAACTAACAGATTCTGCAGAGTGGGAGAATAGAGATAGAATGAAGCAGAATGATGAAAAAGGGGTCCCTATGTCCTCCAGCAGTCTAAGCCTATAGCAGCAGAACTATAGAGATAGCTCAGGATAACCTGAGCCACTCTAACTAGAAGCTTTATCAAAAATGAAAGTTTTAAGCCTAGCCTTAAAAGTAGACAGGGTGTCTGCCTCACGGACTAAAACTGGTAGTTGGTTCCACAGGAGAGGAGCCTGAGAACTAAAAGATCTGCCTCCCATTCTACTTTTAGAAATTCTAGGAACCACTAGTAAACCTGCAGATTGAGAGCGAAGTGCTCTGTTAGGAACATAAGGAACAATCAGATCTCTGATATCAGATGGAGCTTGGCCATTTAAGGCTTTATATGTGAGAAGGAGGATTTTAAATTCTCCATCAGCTCAGAGGAGCAGGACCCGCCCTCAGCTTGCCTCCGTACAGCAGACTGCTTCTGCTCACGGTTCCTCAGCTACAGACCTGCTCTCAGACCCCCCCACACACAAACACACACACCCACCCCCCCCGCCCCTCAAACCCTCACCAGTGCTGCTCAGGCCCTCCTCCATCGACTCTCCCAGGAAGTCAGAGTCGCTGTCCATCTCCTCGCCTCCAAACTCTCCGCCATCAAAGCAAAGCCTTCCTCTGAGTCGCTCCGTCACGCCCTCCTCCTCCTCTAGCTCCGCCTCCCACCACTCCTTGCTGAAGCCCCGCCCCTCCTCTGGTCCATCCCCTGCTCTCCGGTCCGATTCAGGCCCCTGAGTGTCCTTAAACAGAGAGCGCTTCAGGCGGTCCAGAAGCCGTGCTGCCATGGCGCCACCTGGTAGAACCCAGATAGAAACTTTCATAAAGATCCAAACTTGTTCCTGTGGACTTTTTATGCTGATGACACCAATGTTTCTTTATGGGACAGAACCGCTGATGAAGGGACCGGGTAACACCAACACACAACAGGATGGATACTGATAAATTTGGTGGAGGGAAGAAATGTCAAACCTGCTGCAGAAAAACCTCTGATTGTTCCAAACCTTGTTGTTGAGGATCAGACCCAGTTGGATGAGCTGCCGGGTCGTCCAGAACCAGACTACTAATAATAAAGAGTAGTAGCCCAAAGATTCTGCTGCGTTGGTCACTGAACTTTAACATCATCATCGGAGACGTTATGTTGAAACAGAACCAACATGATATTTTTCCTCTTTTTGTATAAAGTACATTAAAGTCTACCGATAACAAACTGTAGAACCGTTAGTTGATTGGAAATATTATTTCATCTCCACTGGTTAAAAAATGACAATGGGAATTAATATGCTGGGTTATTTTGGTGAGGAGAAATTTCTTAATAAAAAATGGCGTCGGCGTGCGGCTCAACAGGTGAGGAAGACGCGCGCCGACAGGTCTGAGCAGCGGGAGATTCTGTCTGGTCGTCTGTTAAAAACAAGTCAAAAAATAATGAAGAAAGATAAAACACACAGTTTGACCCAGCGCCGCAGATCTGATCAGAGTTTGCACCCAGAGGACGCCGCCCGGAGCAAGGAGACGCCGCCCGGAGCAAGGAGACGCCGCCCGGTGCCAGGAGACGCCGCCCGGAGCAAGGAGACGCCGCCCGGTGCCAGGAGACGCCGCCCGGAGCAAGGAGACGCCGCCCGGTGCCAGGAGACGCCGCCCGGAGCAAGGAGACGCCGCCCGGTGGAAGGAGACGCCGCCCGGAGCAAGGAGACGCCGCCCGGTGCAAGGAGACGCCGCCCGGTGCAAGGAGACGCCGCCCGGTGCAAGGAGACACCGCCCGGTGCAAGGAGACACCGCCCGGAGCAAGGAGACGCCGCCCGGTGCCAGGAGACGCCGCCCGGTGCCAGGAGACGCCGCCCGGAGCAAGGAGACGTCGCCCGGTGCCAGGAGACGCCGCCCGGAGCAAGGAGACGCCGCCCGGTGCAAGGAGACGCCGCCCGGAGCAAGGAGACGCCGCCCGGTGCCAGGAGACGCCGCCCGGTGCCAGGAGACGCCGCCCGGAGCAAGGAGACGTCGCCCGGTGCAAGGAGACGCCGCCCGGTGCAAGGAGACGCCGCCCGGTGCCAGGAGACGCCGCCCGGAGCAAGGAGACGCCCGCCCGGTGCCAGGAGACGCCGCCCGGAGCAAGGAGACGCCGCCCGGTGCAAGGAGACGCCGCCCGGAGCAAGGAGACGCCGCCCGGTGGAAGGAGACGCCGCCCGGAGCAAGGAGACGCCGCCCGGTGCAAGGAGACGCCGCCCGGTGCAAGGAGACGCCGCCCGGTGCCAGGAGACGCCGCCCGGTGCAAGGAGACGCCGCCCGGAGAAAGGAGACGCCGCCCGGTGCCAGGAGACGCCGCCCGGTGCCAGGAGACGCCGCCCGGAGCAAGGAGACGTCGCCCGGTGCCAGGAGACGCCGCCCGGAGCAAGGAGACGCCGCCCGGTGCAAGGAGACGCCGCCCGGTGCAAGGAGACGCCGCCCGGTGCAAGGAGACGCCGCCCGGTGCAAGGAGACGCCGCCCGGAGCAAGGAGACGCCGCCCGGAGCAAGGAGACGCCCGCCCGGTGCCAGGAGACGCCGCCCGGTGCCAGGAGACGCCGCCCGGTGCCAGGAGACGCCGCCCGGAGCAAGGAGACGCCGCCCGGTGCAAGGAGACGCCGCCCGGAGCAAGGAGACGCCGCCCGGTGGAAGGAGACGCCGCCCGGAGCAAGGAGACGCCGCCCGGTGCAAGGAGACGCCGCCCGGTGCAAGGAGACGCCGCCCGGTGCCAGGAGACACCGCCCGGTGCAAGGAGACGCCGCCCGGAGCAAGGAGACGCCGCCCGGTGCCAGGAGACGCCGCCCGGTGCCAGGAGACGCCGCCCGGAGCAAGGAGACGTCGCCCGGTGCCAGGAGACGCCGCCCGGAGCAAGGAGACGCCGCCCGGTGCAAGGAGACGCCGCCCGGAGCAAGGAGACGCCGCCCGGTGCCAGGAGACGCCGCCCCGGTGCCAGGAGACGCCGCCCGGAGCAAGGAGACGTCGCCCGGTGCAAGGAGACGCCGCCCGGTGCAAGGAGACGCCGCCCGGTGCCAGGAGACGCCGCCCGGAGCAAGGAGACGCCGCCCGGTGCCAGGAGACGCCGCCCGGAGCAAGGAGACGCCGCCCGGTGCAAGGAGACGCCGCCCGGAGCAAGGAGACGCCGCCCGGAGCAAGGAGACGCCGCCCGGTGCCAGGAGACGCCGCCCGGAGCAAGGAGACGCCGCCCGGTGCCAGGAGACGCCGCCCGGAGCAAGGAGACGCCGCCCGGAGCAAGGAGACGCCGCCCGGTGGAAGGAGACGCCGCCCGGAGCAAGGAGACGCCGCCCGGTGCAAGGAGACGCCGCCCGGTGCAAGGAGACGCCGCCCGGTGCCAGGAGACACCGCCCGGTGCAAGGAGACGCCGCCCGGAGCAAGGAGACGCCGCCCGGTGCCAGGAGACGCCGCCCGGTGCCAGGAGACGCCGCCCGGAGCAAGGAGACGTCGCCCGGTGCCAGGAGACGCCGCCCGGAGCAAGGAGACGCCGCCCGGTGCAAGGAGACGCCGCCCGGAGCAAGGAGACGCCGCCCGGTGCCAGGAGACGCCGCCCGGTGCCAGGAGACGCCGCCCGGAGCAAGGAGACGTCGCCCGGTGCAAGGAGACGCCGCCCGGTGCAAGGAGACGCCGCCCGGTGCCAGGAGACGCCGCCCGGAGCAAGGAGACGCCGCCCGGTGCCAGGAGACGCGCCCGGAGCAAGGAGACGCCGCCCGGTGCAAGGAGACGCCGCCCGGAGCAAGGAGACGCCGCCCGGTGGAAGGAGACGCCGCCCGGAGCAAGGAGACGCCGCCCGGTGCAAGGAGACGCCGCCCGGTGCAAGGAGACGCCGCCCGGTGCCAGGAGACGCCGCCCGGTGCAAGGAGACGCCGCCCGGAGCAAGGAGACGCCGCCCGGTGCCAGGAGACGCCGCCCGGTGCCAGGAGACGCCGCCCGGAGCAAGGAGACGTCGCCCGGTGCCAGGAGACGCCGCCCGGAGCAAGGAGACGCCGCCCGGTGCAAGGAGACGCCGCCCGGTGCAAGGAGACGCCGCCCGGTGCAAGGAGACGCCGCCCGGTGCCAGGAGACGCCGCCCGGTGCAAGGAGACGCCGCCCGGTGCCAGGAGACGCCGCCCGGTGCAAGGAGACGCCGCCCGGTGCCAGGAGACGCCGCCCGGAGCAAGGAGACGCTGCCCGGTGCAAGGAGACGCCGCCCGGTGCAAGGAGACGCCGCCCGGTGCAAGGAGACGCCGCCCGGTGCAAGGAGACGCCGCCCGGTGCCAGGAGACGCCGCCCGGTGCAAGGAGACGCCGCCCGGTGCCAGGAGACGCCGCCCGGAGCAAGGAGACGCCGCCCGGTGCAAGGAGACGCCGCCCGGTGCAAGGAGACGCCGCCCGGTGCCAGGAGACGCCGCCCGGTGCAAGGAGACGCCGCCCGGTGCCAGGAGACGCCGCCCGGAGCAAGGAGACGCCGCCCGGTGCAAGGAGACGCCGCCCGGTGCCAGGAGACGCCGCCCGGTGCCAGGAGACGCCGCCCGGAGCAAGGAGACGCCGCCAAGGGGTGAGATCTGGACCTTATTTTTCTTTTTGGGGGTTTTTGGTGGTACCACTCTTTTTTCTAATCTTTTTTTTGGGGGGGGGGTTGGATTTTTTGTTTTGGAAAGGTCTTTGGACTTAAACGCTTCCAGGATTTTCCTTTGGGTTGGGAGGACATGGAACTCCTGTTTGGACTTTATTATTAGAAGTAAACGGACAGTTTTGGACTTTCAGTCCTTAGGGATGTTTTTCTTTGTTTGTTGCAGATATAAATTGAGACTTTGAGTTTACTTATAAATTGGTTGTGAAGGTTTTTGGGTTATTGATCATTTACACTGAAATATTATTCAATGAAACTTTGGATTCTTGGAAGTAGAGGGATTTTTCTTTATTATTATTTTAAAATAAAACTTTGTTTGCTAATAAAATCCACCTAATCCTACTAAGAGGTTGGACTTTTTTTTCTTCCGTCTCTGATTTATACTGTTACACTTATTGCCTGCCCCCCCCTTGAGTATTTGGGAGTTCTGCTTTTAATCAAACTGAATTTTCCAAAGTTACCGTCAGGAACACTGTTAGCAAAGCATGGAGGCTGGTTCTGGTCCTACTGGACTGATTTAGAACGGTTCTGTTTCAGGACCGGGCCTGAAGGACCTCTGAGCTCAGCCGACCTGCTAGTAGGTCCCATTATTAACAGCAGAAGAAGAGAAGATAAATGGGGGGGTCTATCTGGATCCGACTTGACCATCTAAAGCATTCATCATCATGTTTCAGCATGTTGATAATCTTCATGGATGGATTTCACGTTCAAAGCTTCCATCCTACTGAGCCGGTTATGAAACATCAGGATAAGTGGGACTCTGCTTCATTCTTCAGGTTCTGTGTGGTAGAGCTTCTGATGCAGCGGTCTCAGGGCGAACCGCTCTGAAACCACTGAACAATGAGTCCAGATTAGAGAACCAATCAGCTGCTGGATTTACTGAACTTGTGGAGGTTTCCAGGAGACACTGATCCCCATCAGAGACGACTGCAGGCCAGCCGGTTCCAGTTACAGGACGGCCCGGCTCCTCAAAATGGAAACTATGTCACTGATGAATAATGCAGAGATCTGCTGAGTCAGCCTGCAGTGTGGCGCCGGCCTGCAGAACCACCTCACCAACAGCAGAAAGTTCTCTGATTCTCCAAGTTACCAGATCAACCTGTAGCAATTGGTAGGCCTGACTGGTTCTGGTCAACCAGTAGACGGTTGGTAGGCCTGACTGGTTCTGGTCAACCAGTAGACGATTGGTAGGTCTGTGTGGTTCTGGTCAACCAGTAGATGGTTGGTAGGCCTGACTGGTTCTGGTCATCCAGTAGACGGTTGGTAGGTCTGTCTGGTTATGGTCAACCAGTAGACGGTTGGTAGGTCTGTCTGGTTATGGTCAACCAGTAGACGGTTGGTAGGTCTGACTGGTTCTGATCAACCAGTAGACGGTTGGTAGGCCTGACTGGTTCTGATCAACCAGTAGAGGGTTGGTAGGTCTGTCTGGTTATGGTCAACCAGTAGACGGTTGGTAGGCCTGACTGGTTCTGATCAACCAGTAGAGGGTTGGTAGGTCTGTCTGGTTATGGTCAACCAGTAGACGGTTGGTAGGTCTGACTGGTTCTGATCAACCAGTAGACGGATGGTAGGCCTGACTGGTTCTGATCAACCAGTAGAGGGTTGGTAGGTCTGTCTGGTTATGGTCAACCAGTAGACGGTTGGTAGGCCTGACTGGTTCTGATCAACCAGTAGAGGGTTGGTAGGTCTGTCTGGTTATGGTCAACCAGTAGACGGTTGGTAGGTCTGACTGGTTCTGATCAACCAGTAGACGGATGGTAGGCCTGACTGGTTCTGATCAACCAGTAGACGGTTGGTAGGCCTGACTGGTTATGATCAACCAGTAGACGGTTGGTAGGTCTGGATGACACCGCTGAAATACCCCATGTCTACAGACACATCTGTAGAGACGTCTTGAGAAGTCCAGATGTGTCTGTAGACATGAGTCTAAGGGTCTCTTAGAAATATTTCCATCTTCCACAACAGTCGGGGGAAACCCCCAAGGGGCCTGAGGCAACCTGAGGGGGCCTGAGGCAGCTGCTGCTGGGGATTCCCTTCACCGCCGGTATGTGGGGGTCTGAGCGGCTCCCACAGAGAAATAATCTTTGAAGGCAGGATGGTAATCTGGATGAACTGACTGCACAGACCATGTTTTCACTTCAAAATAGAACGAGAGTTTATTACTTCGTTTTTTATTCTCTTCTATTCTGTGTGAAAACAAGCAACCCTATGTGGGGTTAGGTAGAGCTGCCATGAGTGAAATGCTTTTAGTTTAAACTCTACAGAAAGGAGAAAACCGAATGTCCGTGAACGCTTCACTGTCATCAGCTTATTAACAGCTTAAATTATTTAAATATCGGGCTTTATAAATCAGTTTAAACACTGAGAAGTTTCAAAGAAACATTTTTCATTGTTTATGGGTAAAATCTGACATTTGAACTAAGCGACCCAAACGATTCGGTTCCGTTTGCAGCTTCCTGGATAAACCTGCGGCTGTTTGCAGAGTTTGGAGCCGTTTTCCTGCAGCTGCAGGCGGTTAGCAGCAGCTAAACTTTCTGCTCCTGCTCCACAAACTTCCTCCGGACCCTCCGACCTCCGGCCGCGCGGACACTCACCCTGGACTCCCGCTCCCGTTAGTCCATATTCCGGTTCGGTTCACTTAAAGGTTCCGATCATGACCTCTGCAGTGGACCGGCCCTTCAGAAGGTTCTCATCGGACCGACATGTTGAACAGACTGCTTCCCGATTCCCTGAAGCTTTCCCCGGCCACGGCCTACGGGAGAAGGAGGCCCCGGTGGAGGTCAGCCAGTGACCATATAAGGACATGCAGTACTCAGTCCGTCCACCAGAGGGAAATAAAAGCAAACCGTCTCTCATTTAGTTTTCATCTAATAATTAATAAATGATTCATTTAAAATTCTCTCTTTACCAACTGTATATGTTTTTGAAATTTTAATGATTTTCTTTATATTTATTTATATATTTATATATTTATTATTCATATTTTATTCACGAATCAATTAGAAAAAGTAGAAGATTTCTATTCAGTATGGAGCTTAATGGGGGGGGGATCTGAAACATCATTTTAAATCATTATTTTAACAAATGACCATTTTAACTAGTGAAGCACCGATCATGTATCTTTTATAAATAAAAAAGTATAAATATTTATTTAATATTTATAATTATTAATAGTTTAAATCTTTTATTCTGTGATTCTGAGAAGCAGAAAATTATTCAGTTTTATTTCATTTTTAAATGAAAAATAAAAATCATTAAAACACGAAGTTCAGATTCTTTCATTTCTATGAAAGAAAACGGGAGAAGTTAAAAAGCGACTCACAGGAGCTCCTCTTTGGGCCGAGCAGCAGGAGGAGCAGTGAGGAGGAGAAGCAGGAGGAGCAGCAGAAGGAGCAGTGAGGAGCATTGAGGAGTAGTAGTGAGGAGGAGAAACAGGACGAGCAGTGAGAATGAGCAGCAGGAGTAGCAGAGAGAAGGAGCAGTAGGAGGAGCAGCAGGAGGAGCAGTGAGGAGGAGCAGCAGGAAGAGCAGTGAGGAGGAGCAGCAGGAGCAGTGAGGAGAGAGATGGAGGAGCAGTGAGGAGGAGCAGCAGGAAGAGGAGTGAAGATCAGTGAGGAGGAGCAGCAGGAGGAGCAGTGAGGAGGAGCAGCAGGAGCAGTGAGGAGAGAGATGGAGGGAGAGCAAGAAGTATATCAGGAGGAAAGTGAATCAGTGTTTTGATGTTTAATGAGGTTTTCTGTTATAATAGAAATGTGTAAATTAGACTCCATCATCAGCATAGAACTTTAACAGAGTCTCAGCTAAATAAGAAGCAGCTCATTTAAATGTCTTTAGTGATTTCTAGACAGAAGCTTCAATAGAAAGATGACATTAAATCGGGTTTATAATGTCTGAAATGTTTTGCAGGAGAAATTAACAAAAGTCACAGTTATATTTTTGCTCTTTAAGTCTCCTAAAATGACCAGATTTAAATAATATAATAAAAACATGTGTGAGGAGCACAGGAGCACAGGAGGTTCTGACTGGATCTCAGGGTTTTTAGGGCCCCGATTCTTTGATAAAGTTTATTAAAATCCTACCTGTATATATATACTTAATTTCTGCATATCTGCATATTACTTGAAAGGTCGTCAAATTTCCGACTGTTGTTTAAGAGCCTTGAATGTAACACAGGCATCGCGCGGCCGTCATGGTGGGCGGGGCTTGCAGGCATACTTGAAGTGTTTCCGAGGCTCCACCCTGCAGGTGGAACTCGGTGCTTCTGCTGTTGACACCAACTTCGTAAGAATAAAGGTAAGAGAAGCAGAACCAGAACCTTTTACTGGGCCGGAACCAGTAAGACCGATTGCAGGGCTTGGTTGATTATTTTATTACAAACTGTTTCTTAGTTTAGGGTCTAGTTCTGTGACGTTTATTTCCTCCTCTCAGGTATGTTCAGTTCCTGCTGAAATATTCAAGCTCAGGCCTCTCTGCTTCCGCCCTGCTTCCTCCCTGCTTCCCTCCTGTTTCCTCCCTCCCTGCTTCCTCCCTGCTTCCCTCCTGTTTCCCCCCTCCCTGCTTCCTCCCTGCTTCCCTCCTGTTTCCCTCCTGCTTCATCCCTGCTTCCCTCCTGTTTCCCTCCTGCTTCCCTCCTGTTTCCCTCCTGCTTCCCTCCTGTTTCCCTCCTGTTTCTCTCCTGCTTCCCTCCTGTTTCCCTCCTGCTTCCTCCCTGCTTCCCTCCTGTTTCCCTCCTGTTTCCCTCCTGTTTCCCTCCTGCTTCCTCCCTGCTTCCCTCCTGTTTCCCTCCTGCTTCCTCCCTGCTTCCCTCCTGTTTCCCTCCTGTTTCATCCCTGCTTCCCTCCTGTTTCCCTCCTGTTTCCCTCCCTGCTTCCCTCCTGTTTCCCTCCTGTTTCTCTCCTGCTTCATCCCTGCTTCCCTCCTGTTTCCCTCCTGCTTCCTCCCTGCTTCCCTCCTGTTTCCCTCCTGCTTCCTCCCTGCTTCCCTCCTGTTTCCCTCCTGTTTCTCTCCTGCTTCCCTCCTGTTTCCCTCCTGCTTCCTCCCTGCTTCCCTCCTGTTTCCCTCCTGCTTCCTCCCTGCTTCCCTCCTGTTTCCCTCCTGCTTCCTCCCTGCTTCCCTCCTGTTTCCCTCCTGCTTCATCCCTGTTTCCCTCCTGCTTCCTCCCTGCTTCCCTCCTGCTTCCTCCCTGCTTCCCTCCTGTTTCCCTCCTGCTTCCTCCCTGCTTCCCTCCTGTTTCCCTCCTGTTTCCCTCCTGTTTCCCTCCTGCTTCCTCCCTGTTTCCCTCCTGCTTCCTCCCTGCTTCCCTCCTTGCTTCCCTCCTGTTTCCCTCCTGTTTCCCTCCTGCTTCTCTCCTGTTTCCCTCCTGCTTCCTCCCTGCTTCCCTCCTGTTTCCCTCCTGCTTCCTCCCTGTTTCCCTCCTGTTTCCCTCCTGTTTCCCTCCTGCTTCCTCCCTGTTTCCCTCCTGTTTCCCTCCTGCTTCCTCCCTGCTTCCCTCCTGTTTCCCTCCTGTTTCATCCCTGTTTCCCTCCTGTTTCTCTCCTGCTTCATCCCTGCTTCCCTCCTGTTTCCCTCCTGCTTCCTCCCTGCTTCCCTCCTGTTTCCCTCCTGCTTCCTCTCTGCTTCCCTCCTGTTTCCCTCCTGCTTCCTCCCTGCTTCCCTCCTGTTTCCCTCCTGTTTCTCTCCTGCTTCATCCCTGCTTCCCTCCTGTTTCCCTCCTGCTTCCTCCCTGCTTCCCTCCTGTTTCCCTCCTGTTTCCCTCCTGTTTCCCTCCTGCTTCCCTCCTGCTTTCCCTCCTGCTTCCTCCCTGCTTCATCCCTGCTTCCCTCCTGTTTCCCTCCTGCTTCCCTCCTGTTTCCCTCCTGTTTCTCTCCTGCTTCATCCCTGTTTCCCTCCTGCTTCATCCCTGTTTCCCTCCTGCTTCCTCCCTGCTTCCCTCCTGCTTCCCTCCTGTTTCCCTCCTGCTTCCTCCCTGCTTCCCTCCTGTTTCCCTCCTGTTTCCCTCCTGCTTCCTCCCTGTTTCCCTCCTGCTTCCTCCCTGCTTCCCTCCTGTTTCCGTCCTGCTTCCCTCCCTGCTTCCCTCCTGTTTCCCTCCTGCTTCTCTCCTGTTTCCCTCCTGCTTCATCCCTGCTTCCCTCCTGTTTCCCTCCTGTTTCCCTCCTGCTTCCTCCCTGCTTCCCTCCTGTTTCCCTCCTGCTTCCTCCCTGCTTCCCTCCAGCTTTTCAATTCAATTCAGTTTATTTATATAGCGCCAAATTCACAACACATGTCATCTCAAGGCACTTTACAGTTCAACCAGATCATACAGTCAAATTGATACAAAGTTTTCTATCTAAGGAAAACCAGTTGATTGCATCGACTCAAATACAATCCCTCACACTAAGCATGCTTGTAGCGACAGTGGAGAGGAAAAACTCCCTTTTAACAGGAAGAAACCTCCAGCAGAACCAGGCTCAGTGTGAGCGGCCATCTGCCGAGGCCGACTGGGGTTCAAGGAGACAGAAGCAGAGATACAAAAAGCAGCTGTAAAAGGCGGCCCCGTCCAGGAAACACACAGCCAGGCAGAGGAGCTCCGAGCCAGCTCCCATGCCAGAGGACGAAGAGAGCACATCCAGCCAGTCACGGTCAGAGAAACAGGACCACACTGGAAAACAGGCCGATCTCCAACATCTATAAGCTTCATCCCTGCTTCCCTCCTGTTTCCCTCCTGCTTCCCTCCTTTTTCTCTCCTGTTTCCCTCCTGCTTCCACCCTGCTTCCCTCCTGTTTCCCTCCTGTTTCCCTCCTGCTTCCTCCCTGCTTCCCTCCTGTTTCCCTCCTGCTTCCTCCCTGTTTCCCTCCTGTTTCCCTCCTGCTTCCTCCCTGCTTCCCTCCGGTTTCCCTCCTGTTTCCCTCCTGCTTCATCCCTGCTTCCCTCCTGTTTCCCTCCTGATTCATCCCTGCTTCCCTCCTGTTTCCCTCCTGCTTCATCCCTGCTGTTTCCCTCCTGCTTCATCCCTGCTGTTTCCCTCCTGCTTCCTCCCTGCTTCCCTCCTGCTTCCTCCCTGCTTCCCTCCTGTTTCCCTCCTGTTTCCCTCCTGTTTCCCTCCTGCTTCCCTCCTGTTTCCCTCCTGTTTCCCTCCTGTTTCTCTCCTGCTTTATCCCTGCTTCCCTCCTGTTTCCCTCCTGTTTCCCTCCTGCTTCCCTCCTGTTTCCCTCCTGCTTCATCCCTGCTGTTTCCCTCCTGCTTCATCCCTGCTTCCCTCCTGTTTCCCTCCTGCTTCCTCCCTGCTCCCCTCCTGTTTCCCTCCTGCTTCATCCCTGCTTCCCCCCTGCTTCCCTCCTGTTTCCCTCCTGTTTCCCTCCTGCTTCATCCTTGCTTCCCTCCTGTTTCCCTCCTGTTTCCCTCCTGTTTCATCCCTGCTTCCCTCCTGTTTCCCTCCTGTTTCTCTCTTGCTTCATCCCTGCTTCCCTCCTGTTTCCCTCCTGCTTCCTCCCTGCTTCCCTCCTGCTTCCTCCCTGCTTCCCTCCTGTTTCCCTCCTACTTCCCTCCTGCTTCCTCCCTGCTTCCCTCCTGTTTCCCTCCTACTTCCCTCCTGCTTTCGCCCTGCTTCCTCCCTGCTTCCCTCCTGCTTCCCTCCTGCTTTCGCCCTGCTTCCTCCCTGCTTTCGCCCTGCTTCCTCCCTGCTTCCCTCCTGCTTCCTCCCTGCTTCCCTCCTGCTTCCTCCCTGCTTCCCTCCTGATTCCGCCCTGCTTCCTCCCTGCTTCCCTCCTGCTTCCTCCCTGCTTCCCTCCTGATTCCGTCCTGCTTCCTCCCTGTGTTAATTAATTTTTCCTGCTTCTATTATCATTCCACTGTCAGAAGTACAGAGCAGCACAATTCACCCTGCATTTAACCCCTCCCCTTGGGGAGCAGTGGGCTGCCATTGTGCAGCGCCCATTGAGCAGTGTGGGGTTTAGGTTCTTGCTCAGTGGCAGTCTGTGGGAGTGGGACTTCAATTTAGAACCTCTGGATTCCAAGCTCAATGCCCTGATCACTAGGCCACCACTCATACCGTTCCTCATGATGTTCCTCATGATGTTCCTCATGCCGTTCCTCATGCTGTTCCTCATGTTGTTTCTTGTTGTCCCTCATGATGTTCTCATGTTCTTCCTCACGCTGTTCCTCAAGGCGTTCCTCAAACCGCTCTTCACGCCGTTCCTCATGTTGTTACTTGTTGTTCCTCATGATGTTCCTCATGATGTTCCTCATGCCGTTCCTCACGCCGTTCCTCATGTTGTTACTTGTTGTTCCTCATGATGTTCCTCATGATGTTCCTCATGCCGTTCCTCATGTTGTTACTTGTTGTTCCTCATGATGTTCCTCATGCCGTTCCTCATGCCGTTCCTCATGTTGTTACTTGTTGTTCCTCATGATGTTCCTCATGCCGTTCCTCATGTCGTTCCTCATGTTGTTACTTGTTGTTCCTCATGATGTTCCTCATGCCGTTCCTCATGTCGTTCCTCATGTTGTTACTTGTTGTTCCTCATGATGTTCCTCATGCCGTTCCTCATGTTGTTACTTGTTGTTCCTCATGATATTCCTCATGCCGTTCCTCATGTTGTTACTTGTTGTTCCTCATGATGTTCCTCATGATGTCCTCATGCCGTTCCTCATGTTGTTACTTGCTGTTCCTCATGCCGTTCCTCATGCCGTTCCTCATGTTGTTACTTGTTGTTCCTCATGCCGTTCCTCATGCTGTTCCTCATGTTATTTGTTGTTGTTCCTCATGATGTTCCTCATGATGTTCCTCATGCCGTTCCTCATGTTGTTACTTGTTGTTCCTCATGATGTTCCTCATGTTGTTACTTGTTGTTCCTCATGCCGTTCCTCATGTTGTTACTTGTTGTTCCTCATGCCGTTCCTCATGTTGTTACTTGTTGTTCCTCATGATGTTCCTCATGCCGTTCCTCATGTTGTTACTTGTTGTTCCTTATGCCGTTCCTCATGTTGTTACTTGTTGTTCCTCATGCCGTTCCTCATGTTGTTACTTGTTGTTCCTCATGATGTTCCTCATGCCGTTCCTCATGTTGTTACTTGTTGTTCCTCATAATGTTCCTCATGTTGTTACTTGTTGTTCCTCACGATGTTCCTCATGCCGTTCCTCATGTTGTTACTTGTTGTTCCTCATGCCGTTCCTCATGCCGTTCCTCATGTTGTTACTTGTTGTTCCTCATGATGTTCCTCATGATGTTCCTCATGCCGTTCCTCATGTTGTTACTTGTTGTTCCTCATGATGTTCCTCATGCCGTTCCTCATGTTGTTACTTGTTGTTCCTCATG